CAGGCCTGGCGTGGCTGAGGACGCGGCCGAGCGGCCCGCTCAGGACGAGCAGGCAGTGGCGACGGGCCCCGCGGCGGGCCCGGGCAAGGGCCGCTTCCTGGTGCGCATCTGTTTCCAGGGAGACGAGGGCGCCTGCCCGACCCGGGACTTCGTTGTGGGCGCGCTCATCCTGCGTTCCATCGGCATGGACCCGAGCGACATCTACGCGGTCATCCAGATCCCAGGCAGCCGCGAGTTCGACGTGAGCTTCCGCTCGGCGGAGAAGCTGGCCCTGTTCCTACGCGTCTACGAGGAGAAGCGCGAGCAGGAGGACTGCTGGGAGAACTTTGTGGTGCTGGGGCGGAGCAAGTCCAGCTTGAAGACGCTCTTCATCCTCTTCCGGAACGAGACGGTGGACGTGGAGGACATCGTGACCTGGCTCAAGCGCCACTGCGATGTGCTGGCAGTGCCCGTGAAAGTGACCGACAGGTTTGGGATCTGGACCGGGGAGTACAAGTGTGAGATCGAGCTGCGCCAGGGGGAGGGCGGGGTCAGGCACCTGCCGGGGGCCTTCTTCCTGGGGGCCGAGAGGGGCTACAGCTGGTACAAGGGGCAGCCCAAGACGTGCTTTAAATGTGGTTCCCGGACCCACATGAGCGGCAGCTGCACGCAGGACAGGTGCTTCAGGTGCGGGGAGGAGGGTCACCTGAGCCCTTATTGCCGGAAGGGTATCGTGTGTAACCTCTGTGGCAAGCGAGGACACGCCTTTGCCCAGTGTCCCAAAGCAGTTCACAATTCCGTGGCAGCTCAGCTAACCGGGATGGCTGGGCACTGAACACCCACCTGCCTGCCAGGGTGAACACAGAGCCAGCTTACCCCTCTTAAGTGCCAAAACTTTTTTTTAAACCTACAAGAGACATCTCTCTCTGCCTTCTTAAACCGAGTTTACTCCATTTCAGCCTTTTCTGAATTGGTGACTCTGTCATCAGTAACCACCGAGAACTGTAGCGTGCAGATGTGTCGCCTCTCCCTTTTTAAAATTTTGTTTTCGTTTTTGTATCTGGGTTGGTTTTTGTTTTTGTTTTTGTGTGTGGTTTTTGTGTGGGGTTTTTTGTACTTTTTATTCCCCACGCCTTGTCTTCTCCCGGGATTTTCATCCATTGGGCTGCCTTGCTCATCTTTATGCCCCAGCACTAGGTGCGGGGCCCACCACGTGGTAGGCACTCCATCAGTAGTTTGTTGAGAACATTGTTGACTGTGGCTTGCTTCTGTCAGGGTGTCTACTTTTTGCAGCTCTTACCCTCCCCGTTTAATTTGCTGCTTCTAATCTATGTGGTCTGAGAATTTGTGAAACCAGTGTTGTTAGAAGTGTATGTAATCTGAGTCAGTAAGCTCTGAATGGTGGCCAAGGGCCTCTCTTATGGCATTAAAATGCATGGACTTTGGGACAGCTGTTCAGTGGCTCAGAAGCCATTTTTCACAGAATCATGGAATTTGGAATTTTCTTGCTGGAAAGGACCTAAAAATTGGTTTAGACCAATCCCATGGATTTCCAGCAGATGAAACAGGCCCAGAGAGGTTAAATGACTGGGTCAAAATCACATAGCTGTCTGGTGCCAGAGCTAGCCTAGAGTAGAGTTCCCTGACCCCAAGCCCGGTGCTCATTCCACTACCTCTCACACTTCACAACATTTTCCTCAACACTTGAGGGCCCAGAAAGTCTGATCTCTCCAGAATGATGAGCCCAGAGGAATGCTAAGAAATCGTCTCCGGGAGGAAGCAGAAAGGGATTTAGCAGGGGCTTCTGAATACTTGGGAGATAGAGAAGGGCCAAAGGAACACAATCTAGGGTGTACTCAGTGCTCCCTGGGGTATCATATCTGGATTAAAGTGCCAAGTCCTTTGGGGCCTTAGCCTTCATCATTCACTGCCACCACTTAGAAATGGGGGTGTTCCTAAATAAGGAAACCTACCAGAGGTTTACGTTTGCACCTTAGCCCCAATAGCTAGAAACCCCAGAGAAGCCTCTGACTGGAGCTCATCTACAACTTCCTGACTCACAGGAGAAAGGTGATTTTAACCTGGAATCATAAGTAAGCTGTTAACTCTAAAATTTGCTTGCAAAATAGGTCAAGCAAGGGGGCATTGGGTCAACTAAGTGTTACCGAGTTAAAGTAGAAAAGACAGTAAGCTGCTTTTCTTTTAGTTTTTGTTTTTCCTTTGCATTATGTTTTGCTATTTCCTTGTGGCTTAGAATGTAAAATCGATTGTTAAAAGTTTTGTTCTGAATAAATATTTATCTTTTGTATTGCTAACACTGTTGCCCTATCTCCTTTCAAAGTGTGAGATGCTGGGGTACACAGACTAGTTCAAGCCATATTTCTACACATCATTTGTTTACCCTGCGAAAACATTTCCAACCCCTGCAGGCCACGCTTAGCACCTACTGTGTTGTGCCAGGCCCTTTGGAATTGTTACCTAAACCCTATGTATGCATCACACTCACTTAGCACATTGTAAAAACTCAAAGTTTAAGCCCTAACTTTGCTCCAAGGAATCAGAATCGCTGGTGTGAGTGAAAATTGTTTTAGTAAGCATCCCCAAACAATTCTGATTGGCAGCCACGTTTGAGACCACAGTTCTGAATGGTACTAAAATGAGAGAGATGGATTCTGGCCTCAGGAGATTACAATGGGGAAGGCAGAAGTAAGATGTTAGCTCCATCATCTTAGAGTAAATGCCATGAGTTGGATGCAAAGTATTTATGGGCTTTTAAAAATGCCATCTCTTGGGGTGCCTGGGTGGCTCAGTCGTTGGGCGTCTGCCTTCGGCTCAGGTCATGATCCCAGGGTCCTGGGATCGAGCCCCACATCGGGCTCCCTGCTCGGCAGGAAGCCTGCTTCTCCCTCTCCCACTCCCCCTGCTTGTGTTCCTGCTCTCGCTGTCTCTCTCTCTGTCAAATAAATAAATAAATCTTAAAAAAAAAAAAAATGCCATCTCTTCAGGTACTAAGGGAGGAAGAAAGAGTCCAGGAAACTTCCCAGAGAGCTGACTCACTCCAAGCCAGCCCTGGAGACCCCAGACACAACCGACTGAAGGATCTTCAGCTCTGAGATGTTAAAATGATCCAATCCTAAGAACCAAAGTTCTCAATGTTTTGATTCTCTAACTCAGTGATTTGAGGATATTTCCAGAACTGCTAAGGTGTAGTCGAGGCCTGGTTGGCTCTTAGGAGCCCTGCCTTTCCAGGCCTGCTCAGCCCCTCATTCTTGTCTCCCAAAGCAAACAGACCCTTCCCTCCTTGATCCCTCCCCCTTATCTCTCCCTTCTGTGCCTTGGGTTTCCCTCCTTCACAGGCTGGAGGCGGGGAGAAAGCCTGCATTCATCATGCATTCATCAGACCCTCCTTCCCTCCAAGCAGGCACTGTGCCAAGGAGCCTCCTTGGAAGGAATCTTCCCTCTCTCTACCCTTCCCCCCACCTCCCCCCTCCCCCCAGCTCTCCTGAAGGGAGCAGAGGAAGAAACTATTTCCCTGCCCATCCCCCACAGGATCTGCTCCAGGGCCTCCTGCCTGGCGGTCTGGGGACGGAGCCATGGGCTGGAACGGAACAAACCTCCCCCAGCTTCCTTTCCTGATCTAGCAGCCCCCAAATTACAATCCCTCACTGTTCATGGGTTCCTAGGGAGTATGCAGAGATCCCCAGACTGAGGCTGGCTAACTGACATTCTTTTCATTGGGCTTTCAACAGATACGAGGGCCATTAAAGCCAAGCCCTCCTGCAAGGCATTTTGCATACACCCGGGAATGAGATAGTTACTTGCAGAGGGAGATGCAGATGAGTAAAGAGCAGTTTTTAAAATACTATTAAGTATTTTTTTTTAATTCTGAAAAAGATATACAAAGAATATAAAATTGAAGTACAGGTCTCCTGGAAGAGATGATGATGTCATGACTGAAACCCGCAAGATGAAGAAGCCAGGTGAAGAGTGCCGAGCTGTCCAAGCAGCACAGAGTCTGTGCAAAGACCCTGAGGCCAGAGCACACAGGGTGTTCAGGCTGGCTGTAGAGTCACCAAAAGATGTGCTTCGGAAAAGGCCAAGAGGAGGTGGCCCAGGGCCTGTTGGGCCTGTCGGCGTTACTTAAGAGGCTTTATTTTGTCCTGACCCCCTCCAGTCTGGCCACCTCCATTCCATCCACTTATTTAGCATGTATACTAAGCACCAACTCTCTCTAGGCATGGAATACAGCAAGAGTCAAGTTCCCTGGGGCTCAAATTCTAGAGGCACACAAAGAATTACAAACTATGATCAAGCACTGAAAGAAACATCCAGAGATTGATCTGGTCTTGGGAGGTCAGGGATAACTTCCCAGAGAAAACGTTTGAACTGAGGTCAAGAAGATCTATGAGGAGTTAATTGAGAGATGGGGTTGGGGATTAAGAGACCTCCGCAAAAAGGGTAACAAGTATAACAACCCTATGGTGAGAGGAGGCATGGCTGATTCTAGAAACCAAATGCTCAGTGTAAAAGGCCAGGTTTAGAAACAGAAACCACTGTAGGTATTGAAGAAGGTGATGGGGCCTAAGTTGGGTATTAGGAATGACTCCTAGAACACTACTGAACTGACCTACTACAGGATCTGCTACCTCTCCTAGAAAGGATCCAGGAAGCCGTCACTGGAAAGGTTGAGTTTGAGGACACACTACTGAAGCTACCATCCAAGGACAGGCTGCCGAGATCAGAAGGCCACTGCCATTTCTACTGCCAGGACAATGAAATGAGTTTTCGAAGCCAGAGACAGGACACACGTGTCTCCACAATCTTACTTAGGAGCAGAAACAGCCGAAACTATTTGACTCCTGCCTTACTTTCACCTTCAAACCTCATGCAAATATATCTACTTGCTGCAGGGGGAGTCAGGAAGTGTTTTAGCTTTCCAGTATGTGAGCACAGGAAGGCACATAAACAGTGGGAATCAGGGCACTTGGCTGGCTCAGTCGAGAGAGCCTACAACTTTTAAGTTTTATTTATTTAAGTAATCTCTACACCTCGCATGGGTCTCGAACTCACGACCCTGAGATCAAGAATTGTATGCTTTTCCTTTTTTTTTTTTTACAATTGAATAGCGCATTTTAATTTTACATCTTTGGAAACCACTGTTTATCAAGAGACAAGCTGAAGACAACGTGGAGGAGTTACTAAGCAGTCTGTTTCTTCAGGTGAAAATGAGAACAGTAAGAGTACCTTCCCTTTAGATTGCTATGTGGATTACATAACACACCTCAAGTGCTTAACATAGCTGGTCTCAGTCTGTATTACACATTACAGGACGTCTCTTCCCAAATGAAAATCTGCTTTCTGACTTGGAAAATTTACACTCAGGAGATAAGAAAAATGAGAGTTGCAGGAGAAAAACAAAAACAGGTCCTGGATACCCTTCCTTGAACAGTAGGCGAAAGGTACTTCGCTTCTACAGAAACGTGAGACAGAGGAGGCAATGGGGCCGGCGACAGCGACACCAACACCCAACCAGTGGAAGACCCGCGGGGCAAGGGACAGCGCGGATGTGGTGCAGGGGCTCCCACCCCGGCACCAGAAGCCCCAACACGTGGCTCTCTCCTCGCAGCCCCTCCCACTTCCCTAAGAGGTCCTCGTGCCAGAGAATCAGCGACTACGGCCTTCTAGACTCAACCCGCACAGTTGCCGTCGGGGGAGAGGACTGCCCATCCCGCGGACTAGCCCAACCCGACCCTAGAAATATACCTCAACCGCAAGCCCACAACGCGCGCGGGAAGAAACGCGAGCTCAGTCCTGCTTTTCCTACTGAGCCAGCCAAGAGCCCCTCGAGCCATGAGCCTGTGACTCTTGATCTCAGGGTCGTGAGTTCAAGCCCCACTTTGGGGGTAGAGTTAAAAAACAAACAAAAAACAGTGGGGAATGGATGCTGTCTGCCAACTAACCCATCCAGAACAGCTAGTGTGCCCAGTGCGGAGGGAAGGGAGACAAAGGTACAAAATAAGGCTGAAGATCCTGGGGGTTTGGTCAGCCATGTTTAGAACTTGAGTCTAAGAAGGATGATGAGGAGTCATTGAAAGATTTTTAAGCAAGGAAGAGACATGATCAGGGTTGTATTTTTAAAAGATAATTCAGGGGGCATGTGGGTGGCTCAGTCGGTTAGGCACCGGACTCTTAATCTCAGTTCAGGTCTTGATCTCAAGGTCATGAGTTCAAGCCCTGTGTTGGGCTCCATGCTGGGCATGGAGCCTGCTTAATAAAAAATAAAAATAAGGGCGCCTGGGTGGCTCAGTTGGTTAAGCGACTGCCTTCAGCTCAGGTCATGATCCTGGAGTCCCGGGATCGAGTCCCGCATCGGGCTCCCTG